TGTAATGGACCTTTTTATAAGGAGAGAGAGGGAATAAACATGGACAATAGCAATGCTTTTACAAAATCCTTTCTGGTGTTCACCAAAGTTTGCTTTGCCTGAAGGTTAGAAGTCTAGTCTAAGCTAGTGATCTAAACCTCTCTAACTGGTGACCAGGGGTATGGATTGGCAGAGAGCACATTTCACCCAAATTCTCATCAGAGGAGCTGAAGGTAGCACCAGCCTGTGCGTTCAGCTTAGACTAGGTAGGTGACCTTAAATTGTCAAAGGTGAAATAAATCCCACCCTCACTTCAGGTTTCCTGATTTCAGACCTGGCATCCAAGTCAAGACTGTGAAACTGCACTTGGTAAATTATTAACAGGCAAGCAAATACTTGGGGATGATCTTCAAAATGTCATCAACCTCTACCTTGTTCACAAATGTTTCTACTGGGATATAATGAAAACCCAACAGTGAAAAACCAACAGTGCTCAAAAGCAGCTTAAGGTGGGGAGGAAGTATTAACTACTGAGAAGGGAAAACCATTTCTCAAGTACCTGAAGTCTCCTGAGACCTGACATTTTCAAGACACAGTGATAAGGAAATGACTAAGAATAAAGACAGAATCATAGAATCATAGAATGGTATGGGCTGGGAAGGAACTTAAGATCATCCAGTTCCAACCCCCATGCCACGGGCAGGGACACCTGCCACTAGACCACAGAATCATAGAATGGTTATAACATTCAGCATTAAAAAACTGTGAGGCCAAGGATGAGACAGTATGACTTGTGGGGTTAGTAACATCAAGAGGGGTCAGAATAAAACACTCAAAACACTGTAAGAATGGTGAAATTACAAGAACTGACAAAGGAGAAGCTGGTTCTGAGGAAAAGGGAAAATTTCAGAGGGATGTGCAAAGACAACACGCAGAAGGAAAAATGAGTATGAATGAGTTATTCTGCATATTTCTCTTCTTGTAAGAAGTCGAAGCATGTAACACTGCAATATTGTTAGATCTGGTTTGAATGTAAAATATCCCTGAGGTAGATGTAATTACAACAGCAATCAGGGTGCAAGGAAAGCATTCCCCATGACTAGTAACAGGAATGGATGTATCTAGTGTGATGAAACGGCCTCTGCCTGAGCCTGTAGACCTGTCAGCGCTAGTACTGTCCCCTGCCTCAAAGACCAGCACTGTGATTGTGATTAATGAGCAGGGCAAGCATCTGGCAGCCCCAAAACTTCCTGTGTGGGTTACAATTGAGTGTTTCTCTCATCTTTTTTACACTTTCACCAGCTGTAAAATGAAAATAGTATCATATTAGTTCAATCTAACCCCACTGATCTTAGAGATGAAATATGTAAAGCACCTGATAACCTGTGTGAATGGGTGCTCTTGCTTGATTTCAGGATTAATAAAAGCATGTTGCACAGTATGTAACATGGCTGCTTGCAAAACCAAAGGAACTAGAGTAAGTGACCCAGCACATCCTGTGACTTTTCCCAGATCCCCAGGACTTAACACGCAACTGACTCACCCAGTTAGTAACACAAACACAAACTCCTAGTAAAAACTAGACAGTTCAGACTTAGCTTTAGGCTCAGTAGTTTAAACAGTGTTAAAATCAAATTATTTCACCTCTATCTCAAGCTAATGATGCACACACAGGTTAGCACTGCTCAGCATATACAAGATACCATGTTAAGCCACAGTGTTCTGGTGATGCGTCTGATCTCCTCATGAACAGAATTTAAACAGCTGTTGATACCCAAGTGGCTGGCACAGGGTGTGCCTATAGTCAAAGGAAAAGCATAGAATTATGGCAGTTTCCAAGATCCTGCCATTCTTTAGAAAGATTTTACCTGCCAAAAAAAAAAAAAAAACCAAAACGGATGTAGTAGAAATATGCAATGTAGAAACAAAGGCAATGTGGGTGATCAAACACACACACCTTCCTTGTGAATAATAACTAACTTATCCAGCTGTGGTCTAACATAAAGCCTCTGCTTCAGGAAGTTCATGGGTGACAAGTCTCAAAAAAACCACATTACAATACACAGGAAAAATGGGTTTGTTTGCCCTTTGGTATCAGCTATGGCTGCTTTCCTTGGAACAAGACACTGGGACAGACAGATATTTGTCTGAAATGATGCAGACATGATTTTGGTTTTGGTCTAATCTCTGAGGAGCAAAAATTAGGCAACAGTTGATTATAGTTATGGTGAGGTAGGATTCAATGCTGTAGCACTGAGTCAAAGCACTGAAAAATGGGTTTGTCATGGTCAAAGGGGCAGTTTTGTATTTACATTCCATGTTCTTGGTAAAGCTAGTATTTACACTGTTGTTAATAATATATAAATCTGACTTTTCTGAACTTCAGAAGTTTATCTGCCGTGTAAAAATAGCAAATTAGCTAGATATCTACATACAAATTATCAAATTTATCTGTTGTGATAGCTACACAGAGAAAAATAGATGCACAGTTATATGCATCTTCTGTGGACAGTCTTGGTCTTGAGACTCAGACCAAAAAAAGGCATTAAAAGATTTACTGTTTACTTTCAATGACTAATACCAACTGTTCAGCTTGTACAGCTTAACCTGGGAAAAACTATGCTGCAGAGAAAATGATACTTAGAAATATGATTTTTCATTCACAATATATTCCATCACTGGTAAAATACAGTCATTTTATGCACAATTTTTATATTCCTAGCATATCTAAATAAAAGGATAGAAATAACAATTACAGCATTTTTTCTTATTCAAGTTAGCTTGTTTATTCTCTTATTTGCAAAGATTGATTTGAAAAAGAAACAGCACAGCTGTCTAAACTTATCTACCAGGCTTCATTAATTCTGGAATGTGCTTTTTGTTTGAAAGTTTCAAGTGGGGGAATGATCGTGGAAAGAAATGGAAATACTGACAATATCTAGAAATCAAGTCCTGCATTGCTTTCAAACTACACACACAAAAAAAAAAAAAAAAAACCAGGCATACAAAGCCTGTAAAGTTCTTATGATAAAAGAGCAATTTCACTTACTTCATGAGAATATTGCAGACAAAATTTGGCCTCCTTCATTTGGTCATTTTAAGAAGTTTATTAAATTAGGCTTAATGCACAGAACAGTGTTATCTCTTAAAGAAACAAATGAATGTTGCTTTCTAAAGCACTAGTAAAATTTCTTCTTGTACAGAAATTGCCCCACACAGGAGAATTTTGCAGAAGCTTCCTATCTTTAATAAGGCGATTCTGCTTCATGCTAGAGTTAGGCTGTGTGATCAAGCAGGTATTACCTGAGCCAGAGTTGCCACTTTTAATGCATGCTTTCAATCGACTGAAAAGCTAAAGCAACATGCCTGCTCAGTCCTCAAGAGAGTGCTACACAAATGCACTTTATTTTTCACTTGTGATGAACAAAAAATGTGCAGACTAGCAAAACTGGTGATAATTTTAGCAGCACTTCATGTGTCGCCCTACAAGCACCAGCTCAACCTGGGAGAGCTGACCAAAGTGCAGTGCTGAACTATGCTGGCACTCAGCTCTAAGGTTACGGAGAGTGTAGGTCTCTCCAACTGTTATGACAGTTGGTTGCAGATTCATCAAGAAAAAATAATGGAAATAAATTACTTTTGGGACGTGGTGGTGGTGGTGGTTTTAAGTAGAAGCTGTAATCACAAAAAACCATACAGTCTTACTGAAATAAGGGCAGAAGATCTGAGCAGCAACATTTACATGTAATCCTTATGAGCCTGAAAAATGGCACTTATTTACTAAATGCAGAAAATGGAGTGCACATATTATAATCTAACAATGCTATTTTTCATTTTGATCAAGATCTGGCTTTTTTCCCCTCCTGAAAAGAGCAATTGCAGAAAGAAAATGCAGTATGTGAAATTTTCTTTCAATTTAAAAAAAAAATAATAATCTGATTAGCTCATCTCATTTCAGTGTTTTGCAGATGCACTAACTACAGAAGCCAAAGTATTGCCATAAATCATCACATATTTTATTGCAGTAAACATCTGCTACTCCTGGAGATATATATATATGTGTGTGTGTAGTCAAGGGAGCACTTGAAAAGGAGTAAGGAATGCCAGGTACACTAGTTACTAAAAAGTAATGTTCAAACCAGGATTTCTTTTGCTTTTACCATTAGGACTAAAGAGTTTAAGAAGTTATAGAGACATTAATGGTTACACTAATTTACTGTATTTCCAAATTAAGACCACACCTTCAGAACCTTTTGTTGAATCAATGTCAAAAGACTGCTCAAGTTAGATTAAACATATTGGAAGAACAATGCAGTATTAAGCTCACCAAAAAAATCTTAGCCAAAGCCATAAATTCTAGCAGCAATTAATGTTTGTTTTGGGATTCAGTCACTTGAGTAAATACTGAACTTTCAAAAACACCTAAATGCAAAGGGGTGCAAACTAAGGCTCAGGCAAGCTGGTACATCCACACAGCACAGTGTTGTTCTAAGCACAGAGAGTAATCTGGGTCCAGAATTGGCATTTACACGGCACAGAGCCTGCACTAATACATCCTGCCTTTCAGCACAGTTTGTTAGATCAGACTCAGCGCCAAACTGACAGGGCTATACAGCATCAGGCTCTGGAGCAGTTTCCACACTGCACTTAACATGTTGTATAAGCAGGAGAGAAACACCTATAGCCCAGGTGCAATTTTTGCCACTTACGTGCTTTTGAAAGTCCTGCCTCTTCTATCTCTTTACATGTACACTTCACCCCCTCAGAGTTTTGGAGGCTATTTCCTTATAGCTGTGGCAAGCAAACTCTTAGCACATGCAAGAACATAAACAGCCACCTCCCTATTTGTTTTCCTGCAACTTCTGCTACATGGGTTTCCTCCTATCTATCCAAGCTGTATTACATGGGCAAAAGAAACTTTTCCTTTGTGCTTGACGTTCCTAGTTATATGTTTGATTACTAACTTTTACTGTTTTAACTGGGATCACTTTTGACTATGAATGAGATAGATAAATACTTACCCTCAACAGCCAGTGATACAATGCCTTGAGTGTCTTCAACTCCATACATAACATCACAGCGATACACTCCTGCATCACTTGCACGCAGCTTAGAAAAAGTCAGTGAAGCATCACCAGTCTCCTCTGAATGGGTTGGAACAGACACTCTGTCTTTGTAGCTTTGACCTATTTTGATGTTGCCATTCTGGGCCACAAGGACTGTGGTTTCTTTTGCATCTTTTCCACTTTTATCCAGTTCAACCTTTGACCATTTGATTCGAAGATACTCAGCTGCATAGCTGGAGGAAACAGTGGGTGTGGTTGAAAAGAGGCACGGCAGGACTGAAGTTCCAGAGAGGGATCCCTTTATCATGGTGGTTTTTTCTGCTTTAGCTTGAAAAAAGGGAGAGAGAGGGACAGGAGAAATCACATTAGTGGAGCAGCAAAATTGGAAACAGATATTGTTATTTAACAATACAAGGCATGCAATACCTGAAATCCATGAACCTTATCTGATTTGTAACAGGACTGATTAGTATAAGCTAAAAAAAAGAGTTTGCGTCAATATCCTAGGCTGCCAATGGAGTCCTTTTCTGTTTGGGCAAATTTAATTCACTGCTCTCTGACTTATTGTCTCCACTTGTTATAGCCACCAAGTTATTGACCTTCTTCAGAAATTATTTTGATATTTCAGATAGCAGATGAACTGTAAGAGCTGTGGGATTTTACTTCATAGGAGGAAGACCACTCTGAGTGAATGATGGTGAGTTACCTCATATCTATTGCTGGCCAAAAGCATGCATACAGGGGAGCTATTGATGTATACACTTTGCCTTACCTCACAGTGGTTTGTTCATTTGCTCATGTCCTAAGAGTAAAAGCTAGCTCATGGCTTTGCATACATGACAACCCTTACTCCATTATTCTTCCAAGGGTTAACTTGTTTTATTGCACACATGCTGAAACAAAGGCCTTTCCAGAGAGATCCTCCCAAAGATTCATTCTTTTTAAATTATTTCCTTATAGCCTCAGGGACTTTGACACGTTGCAGAAATAAAGTATTTTGGGATGTTAAGCAAAAAAAGGAAGCAAAGCACACAGAAAGCCCCTACTTGGCTCAGACTTGACATGATAGGACCTTTATCATTTTTTATGACATCGCCAGCTGCAAACATTTTACAGTGAAATGCTTCCATCTGAAAATATCCTGAGGGGGAAGTTGACTACTGTTCTTCTAACCTGCATACAGCAGCTCTCTGAAGAGAGGATTTCTGTTAAATTTATTTTTTCATGTTACCTTATTTCATCACATATAATGGCTTAATGAAGATTAAAAGCTGATGCACAACAGTATCTAACTTATCTCTTTCACTGTCCTGCACTCTAACATTTTTTGAAAGGTGGAATATGTTAAGCCTTAATTCAAAGTGAGTTAGGCTTCACAAAGTTTAGAAATACAGTAATTTCAAGTAGTAGCCACCAACAGAGTGATTCATTAAATATGAGACACCAACACATGAAAATTATCTAGCTGTTTGTCTATCATCACAAATATAATCTCTCCGTAAAGACTAAAAGGTTGGAGGGGAAAAGAGAAAGAAGAGCAGAGGAAAAAGGAAAATTGCTCATTAGGTTAATTATTTTTAATAGAGAGAGATGACTTGTACAGCATAAAGAATTAATTGTATCGTTTAAAAAGGTTCAGTACAAGAATCATCAGCTTGATGGCCAAGCATTTTAACAATAAAGTACTAACTAGAAAAAAAAAAAAAAAAAAAGTAGACTGGCCAAGGAAGACCCAGAAGTTTGAATGGAAGTCTCTCAGAACCTTTCCATCCATGCCTACCTAACTGGAACTTCTTGGGAACACAATGCAGATACAGTCAAGACAACTGTATCAAAACTGATTAGGCCAGAGAAAATGTTAACGACAACAGGGTAGTGCTGTGCCAAAACAGCTGCGTTGCACCCAAAGCTTAGCTGAAAACTTCACATGGAATGACACTGTCTGAGCACATTTAACAACAAGATGCTCACTGCGATTCAGGGAGATTTTCATTGTTCCATTAACTCATACACAGAGACCAGTGATGGTACAACTCACATGTAACATTCAAACTAATTACTTCATACACTTTGGGCCCAGACCCATCAAAAACTCTATATATAAGACAGGGAAAGACAAAAGTAGGTCCAGTATAAAACTGAAGACTAGAGAATTCACAAAGTTTGAAGACAAGCCTGCAGAAGTTAGTACAAACTAAAGGTGAGCTCAAAAGCTTTGACCGAATACACTTTTTCTGGGGGGGGAGGGGGAAGCTATTGAGAGTTGGGAGGATTTTTAGTTCCATAACAAAATGAAAGCTCAACTCACTGAGAATCAATTGATTGCTAAAAACTAGAAAGAACTGGTTTTATCCTGAAAATGTACAGTATGGAAACACCACTGCTTTTTATATCACTTTCAGTTTCTTGAAACTTCACCAAGTTACAGTGGGATAGAGACAAAGAAACAGAATGAACACTCACTTTTATCAGTTATGATGGAATTACTGCCAAATTGCACAGGTGAGAGATTAAAATCAGTCTCAAAATATTTAGTATTTATTACGATCTCTTGTCATCTATATACATTACAGGAACTTCTTAAATGAAAAATTACCTAGTTATAATTATCCTGATAGGCAGAATTTTAATAAACTTTTGAGAACACTGTTTCTGGTTATGACTGATCTGGAATATCAGCACTAACCCTGAGGAAATTTCCTCTCTTTAAAATCTGTCTTCACATCAGCAGACTGAAACCCTCGGCAAACACCACATATGATCATGATATGCAAACTAGATCTAGCATAAACTGGGCTACATCCCAGAATAGGAGACCATGTAGCTACACACATGCCCATCTATGTGTAGAAAGCATTATAAAACACTATATAAAAGCACTTTTTGTTTTGACAAGAGGAGGGAAGAAGAAGGGAAAAGAAAAAGAAAAGGGGAGAAACTTTTCCCTATTGAAAAAAAGTTATATTTGCCATTGAAACATAAGATCATGTGATGATCCTGAACAGTTCCAAAAAGTTTGATTTCTTGCAGCAGACTGAGTTAGTCAAGCCAAATTTACTGGCCAACACAGAAAGCATCAATATCTTCTATTAATCCATATGGCCATTTTGTTACTTTAGCATTTTCCCAATGCTTATATCCCATGTTATGTCTCTTTTTCAGCCACTATCAATATCATCAATTCCTTTGATAAAGAATATCAAAGACTATTCCTTAAAAGGGACATGACGTGCAAAAATATGAACAAAACATTTTGTAACTCTCTGTAAACTGGAAAACAAGCTGAGAAAACGGGCATTTGCCAACATTGTTTTATACTGTATCTTCATCTCACTATGTAGGACTTAACAATACTTGTAATATCTTGTACTCTTAAACAAAAGGACAGTTTTGAAATTACCAAACTGGTTGGCACCAGCTTAGCATGTGAAGAACTTCTTCCTTGAGAACAAAGACTTTTTCCCAGAATTTTTACATTTTTCTGTTGTAAATGTTACGAAACTCTTAAAATAAAAGTCTAAAGAGGAAAAATACCCCAACAAAATAAATAAAAGAAGCCATGACAGAATAACATAACGTGCAGACATCATAGGTATACACACATGTATTTTATAGCACACATAGAACATAAACATGATCAGATAAACTCACGTTTAAACTGATGTATTGTTTATATACATTTGAAAGGACTTTATCATACTCTGCATTCTAGGGCATTTTTACTCTTTCGGATTACAGGGCTTTCAGGAAAGCATACTCACTCATGACATGACAAATAGTCACTTAAAACAGGTAAGATAAACTCCAACATTGATCATAATCACAATGTCCAGCAAGTAAGCTACAATATTCTAACACTAGCTAGCTCAAAATGAGTAAATGCCACACTAAGAGTAGGTGTAAACCTTGGTTATGAACTTTTGTCACTGATTCTTCACATGTATTGGGGCAAACAGCAAAGGTCTTGCAGAGGGGCATACCCATGACCCCAGAAGTTTACACCATATTTCCTGCTGCTTTCCTGACACACATCTTCTGAGAATTTAAAGTCTTAAAGAAACCATGCAAATCCATTCTCAATTTACCCTCAAAGGAAAAAATACTTCTGTTGCTACAATCTAATGAGCATGCCATGCATATGTGCTAGGTATTTATGAATAGGATCATTCACAAAGATGAGAGTGGAAGACAGAGAGAAAAAAAATGGAATAACGATCAGTGGTTCTAAATTAAGCCTCAGTTTTGTTATGACTTAACATTAAGACTCACTGACTCCAACATTTACACTTTAAAAATAAATGTTGATTTTGACAAATTTCCCATATGACCCTTGAAAGAAAAATTTTAAACTTCCAGAGCAATTTCACCTCAAAGCTTTTTAAAGGAAATATTGCAATACATCATACTGAAGTGACTGTGTGACTAAATTTGATTAAGTCAAATACACTGTGGGAATGCAAGCGTGAGGATTTGTGTTTCATGAAAGATTTCAAAGTTTCAATTTTATGTTCAAATTGAGGATTTAAAAAGAAAAAAAATAACTTAAAATGTGTGACTTTGAAATTCAGAGATACATTTTTTATTTTATTTTTTAAACAAAAGCTGTAATTGTAAGGATTGTCTGTAATCTTGTAACACTCCACCTAAAAAATAGTATTACACAAACTGACTGACATTTGTACAAACCAGAAAGGTATGAGTTGATCTCACAGACTCCATGGGATCATTCCATGAAAAAGTTTCATCTTCATCTTCTTCTCCATGGCCATACTTTGAGTGTGTTTAAGACTCTGTATGGCAAAAGTATGTCCCTTAACTTCAAAAATAAACGCACAAAGCTCACAGTGTATTCTAGGAACATAAGTCTATTCCAAAAGATTCAGGCAAATAAGGACCAGTCAGAACCTGGTCTATATTCCTGAGAACTTTTAACATCATGTTCATATGGAATTTGTTTAAGGACTAAAGATTCTACACTGGAGACAACGCAAGTCCCCTAAGAGGTGATAAAAGGTTGAGTAAGTCAGGGGGCATCTAAAGGTGCCACCCCATGTTCTACCACTCTAAGGATCCATTCCACTCCACTTACAGTGATCCAGACCCTGAATTCTGATAACATTTGCACAAGACATTGAGTCAAAGGTCTGATCCAGTAGAAAAATAACTTCCAAGAAATGCCATATGCTCTTTCTAACAAGTTGCTTACCTGTTTCAGCTGGCCATATACCCACATAATTACTAGTGTCAGCACAAAGAAAAGCATGAAAACTAGCACCAGGGGATGGCAAAGAGGCAGGACTATCCCACCTAGTGCTAAAATGTATGTGCTATTAAACAGACCATGGAATTATGCCCTAAGTAAACAGACTTCCAATAGGTCCTAAGAGAAACATTAGGATCAAATTTCTTGTCAGAATCCTTTGCCTTACTTATTCTAAGGAGGAAGTGATGGTAGGAAACAGCAAAGGATGGCGCTCACAACATTATGGGGGAAAAAGGAGAGAAAAAACAACTCACTTCTTTTTAGTTAGCTCAACTAAGCACAACAGTGCTTTTCTTCATCATACAGGACTAGCTAAAGACTTTGTTGGTAACTGTGTTGAAGAGAGGTAGAAAAGAAATGACTACATTTGATTCTCCTAAAGGCTAAAATCAGTTTTAGGAGTTCCTGGAGGACAAAAAAAAAAAAAAAAAAAAAAGGGGGGGGGGGCCGAGAAAAAGAGTGTTAGTAGTTTCGTGGGAAAAAAAAAAAAAAAAAAAAAAAAAAAAAAATGGAGGGGTGGAAGATTAAGAAAAATCTTGTTTTGAGGCTTGGGAAAGCTATTATCCTGATTTTGTGAGTCTGAGCCTCTCTGGGGATCTTTTCCTTACTAAAGGTTTGACTCAAACTTTCAAATAGCTATGGGAACCACACATGAATAATACTTTAGTGTTAGCATGAAACTGCCAAGAGAAGTGGTAAGGGCCACTCCTTTCCACCCAAACTAAGAAGGCCTGCAGCTGCTCTAGCATGTCCTTGCTGCAGACCTCAGCACCCACGGGACCTGTCACCAGGTTAGCTCATGGCAGAGCCCAACAGGGGGCTGGCAGCCAGACTGCCTACTCCAGAGGCACGTCCCCGGTTGCTCCTTGACAGATCACAGAGTAAAGCAGAAACCAGGGCTACTAGTTTCACCCTGACCACAGAGAGGGTGCAAGTGGTGACCTACCAACCCAAAAGGCTGTGGTATGACATACATGAGCACACACACTGGGATCTGCCTAGGAGGTATTCCAAACTGGTATTCCTGTAGCCGAGAACCTCCTCTATTTCATTCACCACTTCCTAGGTCTCTTCCAGGAACCTTCTCTGCTCCTGTGCTGCTGGCACTTTTCCCTTTGTGGCACTAGGCTGAAGCACCCATGGAAGGTGTCGGCCCCCCTCAACTAAAATTAGCCCTCCCACCAGCCCTCGCACCATCTAGTCCAAGGAGATCCTTGGTGGATCATGGAAAACGAAGGTGTGAGACAGCTTGGCCAACAGGTCCCACATTTCAGAAGCACAAGTTAAATTATTAAAATGCATTCTTAATATTTGGAGAAGGCAATCTATTTTGCTTTACGCAATGTAATCCTATGGCAATTTATTTTTACTTGAATTATAGTAACGACACTTAAAAACTTGAGGAGACACCAGTCAGTTACATAAAACCTTGTCAAAAACATGCCCACACACCAAGGGTTTTCTAAATAAATCAGTATGGAAAAGAAGAGAATATGGAAACAAATTTAACTAGTTACACAGTGCAGCAAAAAAGAGTGGGAGAGGAAAGACCAGAAACTGAATCTCATAAATTTTGGTTATTCGTCACATCCTGGCAAATACCCTACTGATTAAAGCACTGAAAGAGATTTGAATAAATGGTTTTATGCATAACAGACTTACCTTTAGGTAGCATATCTGTTATAACTAATGTAGAGTACATCCATAATATAGTTTTTATACTTAACAACATCTTGACCTACAAATAAAGAACAGAGACATGGTTAATATTGCATTGTGCCCTTAGCAAGTGTTGTAACTCAGTACCTCAGTATTTGCTACAGATATTAAAAGCACTCATCTTCTTAAAAAAAAAAAGGTTCATTGAGACAGAGAATAATTCTTAGTATATTGATCTTCTGACATTTTATTCACTGTTTATAGTTTATTCCCATACAGTGGTAGCAATGTATGAGTACAACCTGATTACTTTTCCCTGATGTGGTGTTGCCAGTTCAAATCCAACCTCTGGGTTGGATATGTCTGTCACACAAACTACCTTGTCATTTGTCAACAGCTAACAATCTGGTTCATGTCAGAAGGGGCTCCCCATGACAAACTTTTCCTGAATTTCAATGGTGAGTCGACATCCATAGTATACCCTTCCTATTGCAAGTTCCCAGATAACTTCCTGCTATGAAGATTTCTCCATACTATATTTTACAGTGGAAATTTGTTAGAATGGCAATGTGCACCTGTCAAATACAAATTCATAATGTGTTTCAGGTTATCAAATCCAAAATGACACTCAGATGTGTCAGTCCCCTTTGGGCTTGCTTCTCACTTCCTTTACAGGCTCCACCTTCTAACATCTGAAGTGTTCTCCATGTGTATCATATGTACATAACAATATCTTGCATGTTCATAACAGTATATCTTCATTTTTATTCTACTTCTTACTTACATATGTTGAATTTGTAAATATCCTGAAAATTTCAGTACACTAACAAAAGCGTTGCGAGTCCTATAAATGTCAACTACTGTAAGGGGTTTATAAATAACCTGTCTTCCACATAGTTACACATATGTGTACTCTAGCCAGCATATAAAATTACTTTCAGCAGTAGTTTGTCAAACAATGCCGCTGAATTTTTTTTATCACAAAATTCCTGATATTGCTGTCAAAATATGTTACTTAATTTCTTTACTTGGGCCAGTAAACTGAACTGATACTTTTCCCTGTCCAAAAGATTACAGTTTAATTGCTTTAAGGAATAGTGAACAGACATTTAATAGATGTCTGTTATAACTATGAAACTTGTACTGCACATATATGTATTTTTAGCATTGTAGTTCTTTAGTACTTACATATAATGCTTTAGGGTTAAAACATTACTAATACTTTCAAAAACCTCAGCAAGCTGTACTGAACACAATAGCAAGACACAGAAAGAAACATCTTTAGAAAACTACTGGTGACATGTTCAATCTCTGGAAAGTTTTCTCCCCAGCTTACAGCTGCAGCCCAAACTTGACATGAGTCTGTGTGAATTGGCATCTATCCTGTAATGGCTGAACAGCTCAGAAAAGATGCAAAACATCTCAAACCAAGCCTTTCCAATGAGGCAATCTCTAACATAACAGCATCATGTTAAAAATTCCCACCCAAAATGGCTGAAAACCCAAGAGCTTTTCATTTGCTATACATGGATGGCCAGAGCTGGACGATTGCACTAGGAAACATATTCTGCAACCTATTCCCAGGGTGTGGAGGAAAGAATACAGCTGCTTTCCTTAAAGCAGACTGCACGTTGCCAAAGACGCCCCAACTCTCTTGCAGCATTCAGTGAGCTGAGTGTATAATGTGATATCACTTACTTTGCAATATTAACTTAGTGGAATTTGAACTTTTTATGACTGAGTCTCAAACAAGAACGGGACTTGGCTTCATTCAGTTTGAGCCCCATCTGCCATAAAACTTTTTCTGAAGACTCTAACACATGCCCCCAACACCAACCAGCCAGAGTTTTTCTCTCTCCCTACGCTTACACAAGCCAAGCTGTACATGGAGAAAATTAAAGTGTCCATTTTTTAACTGAGGAAATCTATACTGTGCCCTAGGATATTATACGTGCCTTGCAATAGGTTGTAACAAGTGAGGAGGTTGCATAAGGTAAGAGCTGCAGACATGGAACTCTTTTTAATGCAAAGGACCAGCTCTGAAATACAGACAGCCACGTGATTGCTTAAATAAACACTTAAATAATCCTCATTATTACACAACATTTAAAAAAAAGGAAAAAAGTGGTTGTGCTGAGACTACACATACACAGACTAGAAGGGCCTTCAAGCAACCTTGTATCCTGAAACTGCTTTAAGCCTCAAGAACCAAATCCACAGCCAACTAGGTCCTTCAGTAACACAAACTCTCAGAAGAGAGCACAAAAAGAAGACCAACAGACTATTTCATTCAAAGGTGGTGAATGCTGGACCTGCCTGCCAGACAGTGCTCTGCTCTGGCCCCTGTGAAAGCAGGGTGGCTCCAGACCTTCCTTTGAGATATTCTGCCCACATGTTTTCCATGTGTCACACACTGGCTACATCAACAGCTAAACAAAGATCTAGAACAAATTGTTTATAAGTTTAGATTTCCATGTTTACCCATATGATCTCTCTCTGCCTCCAGAAGCCAAACTTTGCTTTTGGGACTAGAAACAAGGGAATCAAAGAAAAAGAAAAAAGAATTTTCTTTTCCCTGGAAGATGGGTGTGCTGCACCTAAACAGGGCTGGCTGCATGTTAAGACCACTGCACTGGCCCTGACCAGGAGTGCCTGCATATGTGGCACACGCCAATTGGATGCCTACTGCCCTCAGAAGCTTATTGCAATACAATCATGACAAGAGGTGGTGTAACTGCTTTCACATTTGGTAAGAAGACAAACCCCGCTGCTATGTTCAGAAGCAGCTAAGAGTTCTAGAATCATAGAATCAGCTAGGTTGGAAAAGACATTTAAGATCATCAAGTCCAAAGCAGTGGACTTGTGTGGACTATAAGTGAGCTTCTGCTCTACACTACATATCTAGAGTACAGGGAAGATCTCATATTCCCATTCCTCTTTGTCCATAAGCACAGAGCTCTGATCCTTCAACATCATGTTGGTGACTGCATTGCGAATGCAGTTTGAGGAACCCTCATATCTTCAGCTTCCAGTCACCAAGCACAATACATACAGCCACAATGAAATACAAAAACAGAAATACAACTGCAGAAGAACAATTTCCGAGATATCCGGTGACTGCTGAACTCAGCCATGGCCACAGGAGAGAGCATTCATGGTTGTGATGGCTACTTAGCCTTTTACTGAGTAGTGCAGGAGTTACACCTGCTGCACCAAGAGCTTGGATAGCTCAAAAAGGAAAAATTGCACTGTTTGAGCATGGAGCTTAATATGAGACACCTGCAAAAAATCCCCACCCGACGCTCAGAACATCATCTCTCAACCTTTTATTTTTCTAAATCTCCTCTACCTCAATGTGTTTACTCAAGCAATGAAAAATGTTGGGGGAAAGTTCTGATTTTCAGCCCTTAGGCAACACAAGCAACAGCTCCCATGCAGTTCTCCATGTACAAGGGTTTTCTCACCCCAGTCCTTGGTGAAATCCCATAAACACGAAGTTACTGAGTGCTGTTCAGCTACGGCTCCTAGAATTAAATGTACAATTACCCCTGCCACTCTCTTTAAATGACAGCATGCAGATCACAATGGTGGTACCTTGCTCAGCACCCCAGGTCAGCCTAGCTTTGGAGAGGGGAGTTGTTCAGCCTGGAGAAGAGAAGGCTTCCAGAGGAGATCTTATAACAGCCTTCTAGTACCTAAAAGGCCAACAAGAAACCTGGAGAGGGGCTTTTATATGAAGGGCTGTAGGGACAGGACAAGGGGGAATGGCTTTAACCTGACAGAGGGGAGATTGAGATAAGCTCTTAGGCAGAAGTTCTTCCCTGTGAGGGTGCTGAGGCCCTGGCTCAGGTTGCCCAGAGAAGCTGTGGCTGCCCCATCCCTGGCAGTGCTCAAGGCCAGGTTGGATATGGCTTGGAGCAACATGGTCTAGTGGAAGGTTTCCCTGCCCATGGCAGGGGGTTGGAACTGGATGAGCTTTAAGATCCCTTCCAACCCAAACCAGTCTGTGATTCTATGATTGTATGAAAGCAGAGCTCCGGTGCCAGCAATCCTCCTCAAGAACCACAGGCAAGGAAGAGGCTGCTGCTCCCACCTCAGTCTCTGTTCAGTGCTGCCCACATTTGCAGGCCACCACTAGTGGATGTGACTGCTTCTACCTCCTGCCCTTTTGCTGGCAGGGACTGCAGATGACTCTGATCCCTTGTAGCCTCCTGAGAAAAACCCCTGATCTAAAAAGGGTTTGTATTTCCCATTCCCACACTCTACAGTTGGCAAAAGCCTTTGCTGGCTGCCTGCTGTACTGCCCCTAAGTCCACAGTAATTAGCCAAAATCCTTCTAACCATACCATTTCCACCCAGCCCCCCAGCCTCCTTGGTGTCACTGTACCTAGAATAAGAGAAAACCATAATACTATGGACACAGCAAGAATATCCTGCCAACTCAAGACTGCAAGACTTGAGTAAGTGTTTAATTTCCACCTTCTGTTAAAAAAAGTATCTCACTTAATGTGATCAAACTTGCATTTTCTGCTGGCTGATTTCCAACTGGACTGATCCATTTCACTAGGAGCTACTACAGGCAGACCAATCTACTGTAGTAATTTGCACTGCATTTTTAAACTGGATGCAACCCTGAGCATAGTGTAGTTTAATCAAAAAGATGTCAAGTCCTTGACAAACTTCACATCTTTAAGAATTAGCAGCAGAGGTTGTCTCTGTGGGGAGGGAGCAGGGCTTCTATATTTGCAGACAGTGCTACCTTACCTTACCACAGCAAAACCCCACAGGAGCAATAAGTTCTGATGAAATTCCAGCTCGTGTTTAGTTTACAGTGTAAGCTTGATTTCACACCAATGCTATTTTAATTTAACCAGATGGGAGTACCTCATGTCTTTCTGTTTTAAACTCCATATTAAGACAGAATGAAACATCCTGGTGTGAAATGGACTAAAACCTACCATCCCAAAACTATTCCCAACTTCAGAGAAGTTGGGACAATGAGAAATTATTTGCTTCCACAGAGGTGGCATTGCCTTTAAAGGCTGCAGCTTCTCAGGTCACACTGAGACCGAT